ATATAAAAATAAAAATAAAAAACAAAAGTAACCTTACAACTACCACCCTAAAAACAAGAGGGAAAAAAAGAAAGAAAAAAGAAAAAGAAAAGAAGAAGAAAAAAAAAAAAAAAAAAAAAAAAAAAAAAAAAAAAAAAAAAGATAGACAGATAAAAGAAAAAAAGAAATTAACTAGCATTGTCACCCCTCAGACGTACCTGTGCAGGTGATTCTTCATGGCCGGAGCTGTTGTCAATGCTGACCACTTCCCAACCAGCTTCCTCAGGTGTCTGTTCTCCTGAGGCTCCACTGCTGCCAGGGGGATCATCCACTATGTAGGCAACATACAGCTGTAGGTGACCTTTGACCCGAGACCTTGCACTGGAAGAAGGAAATTGCCGCTGGTAAGTCTTGCAGAGAAACTTTGAATACAGGCATGTTATATGAGGTATGCTGCAAAATACTGGGACAAGTTTATGTTATGTTGCAAGTTTTATGGTAATTACTATCATGTGCTTTGAATGGCAAAACTACTCTACACTTGAAAAGTTTGATCTTCAAATCTATACGCTATTCATAAAAAAAACCTCTAATTTCAGTCCAGAAAGATATATTCTAAAGATATATTCTAAATATATTCTAGATATTTAGCTTTTGTTTGGTAACAGAAAATGACCACAAGAAGAACTGATATTTATTTCTTTAATAATGATCTATCTTTGATACAAATGACCTCTCTTGACTGTAAAAAAAAATATATCATGAGAAGCTTTTAGCATGATCAAAATGTTGACATATATTTTACACATGCAAACATTTAAATAAGTTTAATTTATATAGCTATTACTTTAAAGCTACAAAGTACAGCACATTAATTTCTTTAAAAATTGCATTCATAGTCCTTTAAAATGATGACTATGATAACATTTAACAGATAACAGAAATACAGAGAAAGAAAGAAAATAGGAAAATTTGACGATAAAACCATTCTCTCATTAACTGCTATCCTCTAGGCATCATTAACTGACGTTCAGACAGCTTGCCAGGTGTCAATGTTGAAGAGCAGGCTTTCTCTGGCCAGTTTGCTAGGTGCCATCAATTGAGGAGCAAGCTTGCACTGCCCAATTTACAGGCTGTCATCAACTCAGGAGCAGGCTCTCGCTGACCACTTTGCCTGACATCTCTCATCCTTTTGCTGGGAGTCATCAACTGATGTTGAGAGATTTCTGTTCTCTGGCTTATTGGCTAGGCTTTAACTATCATGGCTTTCACTGGCTAATTCACTGAATATCATCCACTGGGGCGAGATTATCTCCACTTGATGAGCTACTACTTCTCAACTGAGACAAAAGATTTATAAGATCTGAGTTATGGTGAGTAAATGTCAGGTGGAAATGGTGATTGTCTCATACATAAGTAAATTCTAGCTCTCATAACAATTCAGTTAAGAATTTTACAGTTACATAAAACACCCATGGTAAGTCTCATGTAAAACACAATCACAAAGGCAAAAAATCATCAAAAGCAGATTTTAAAAATCAGTGAAGATTTTAATCCATGCCATACTAGCCAGGTGCCATGCTCACTCAGTTTTTTTTTTTTTTTTTTTTTTTTTTTTTTTTTTTTTTTTTTTTTGAAAAGAGGGTAAAAAGAGACTTAAAGCCTGCATATGAGGAGTTTTATCTCCAGTGACAAACAACTGAACACTGTTTAGTGCACACAGCATAAAGAAGGCAGACTGTATGTGGGAAGGATACTTGCCACCCAGCATGTAGGCCCAATTCATCATGGCTATTAATGTTTTAGAATTTTTTTTTTGTGCTTGCAACTACTCTCCTTAAAGTTTACTTTATGCTGGCTCACAACAAATATTTTCAATACCTGTGAAGTCTTTATTCTTTTAAATTTGAGGTTGCAAGATGGCAACCTCAGGGATCATAATTATTGGAAAATGACTCTCCAAATAGAAATCATCCCTCTGGCCCAGCAATGCCTCGAAGCCAGTGATTGTGCTCGAAGTGGTAGGTGTCCAGACCCAAACCAACACCTGGGGTTCTACCAGGATAAGGCAGTGTTTCTTTCCACACTTTTAAAATTCTCTTCTTTGCAAATCCAAAACTAAAACAATATCATATTTCATATCTCTATATACTTGATCATATTTTACTTGATGTTCTATATACAGACATTTTGTTTCACAAAAAATTAATATTGAAAAAAAAGAGGACAATGAAGATACACTTCTGAAGGAGAGAAAATAAATAAAAACAATTAAAATACATCATGAAATATCATATGAAAAACTGCAAAATGAAATCATACAAAAATAAAATGTTAATGCACATGAAATGCAGTACAAAATACAAAGTACACAGATAGCCAAATGTGTAATTCAGACAATCATATACAACAACAACAACAACAAAATATTCACAGAAGGATATCACACTCAAAAATACTCCACTAACAATATATTTTTCTTCCTGTGGCCATGTTCTATTAAATTTCTACACACATTTCA